TAATTAGGCATTGCATTTCCTGACTACCTATCACGTTTTTGGAGCCCTAAAACGCTAGGACAATATAAACACCACCCAAATGACCGCTTTTTGGAAAGTAGACACTCCAAGGTATTTGCTGAGGGGAATGTTTATTAAGATATTTCTCACACATGTCATGGGTATACGGTGCAATACACCCCAAAACACATTCTGCTACTGAGTATGAGGATACCATATGTGTGTGATAATAATAAAAAACTTTTCTTAAAAAAGTCCAAAATCTCAAAACACACCCCACTTTTAATAAACAAATGTTCAATAAAGTCTCTTTTATTCTTCTTTTCCACGAAAAAAATCCTTTTTCTCAACACCCGTACATTCTGATGCCCATATACCTCAAAAAAAGAAAAAACTTAACATAGTGTCATACCTTTTTAGAAATCAAAACACACGTGCCCTTACCAGTGCACCATGCACTACTAGTGAAAATACTCAAGCAAACGAGGAGAAAAAAAAAAAAAAAAAAAAAAATTATATATAAAAACTCTCTATGTGAATATCAGCCTATATTATTAATATAGGTATCCGTGTCACCAAATCTATGACCAGTGTGACAAATACAAATCACATCCACTATGTGAGTCTGTGACACTTATGACACTGCAACTTCGTGACACCACACTTGCAATAAGTGATCAAACACACATCCCCAACCAAAACCGTGATCTCCAACTCCTTGTGTAAGATGGATAATTACCCTCTATAACCACAGATAGGGCTAGATATAGATCTCCTTAGCTGTAGAAATCCATCCAATATTAGGTCCAATAAAGTATTATACAGTCATGGCCGAAATTGTTGGCACCCTTGATATTTTTCCTGAAAATCAAGTATTTCACACAAAAAAGGTATTGCATTAACACATGTTTTGCTATACACATGTTTATTCCCTTTGTATGTATTGGAACAAATATAAAACAGAGGCAGAAAAGCAAATATGACATAATGTCACACAAAACCCCAAAAATGGGCTGGACAAAAGTATTGGCACCCTTAACTTAATATTTGGTTGCACACCCTTTGGAAAACATAACTGAAATCAGTCGCTTCCTATAACCATCAATAAGCTTCTGACACCTCTCACCGGAATTTTGGACCACTCTTCCTTTGCAAACAGCTCCAGGTCTCTCTTATTGGAAGGACACCTTTTTTCCCAACAGCAATTTTAAGATCTCTCCACAGGTGTTCAATGGGATTTAGATCTGGGCTCATTGCTGGCCACTTCAGAACTCTCCAGCGCTTCTTTGCCATCCATTTCTGAGTGCTTTTTGACGTATGTTTGGGGTCATTGTCCTGCTGGAAGACCCAGGATCTTGGACGCAAACCCAGCTTTCTGACACTGGGCCCTACAGTGCGACCCAAAATCCTTTGGTAATCCTCAGATTTCATGATGCCTTGCACACAGTCAAGGCACCCAGTGCCAGAGGCAGCAAAACAACCCCAAAACATCATTGAACCTCCACCATATTTTACCGTAGGTACTGTGTTTTGTTCTTTGTAGGCCTCATTCCGTTTTCGGTAAACAGTAGAATGATGTGCTTTACCGAAAAGCTCTATCTTGGTCTCATCTGTCCACAAGACGTTTTCCCAGAAGGCTTTTGGCTTACTCAAGTACATTTTGGCAAACTGTAGTCTTGCTTTTTTATGTCTCTGTGTCAGCAGTGGGGTCCTCCTGGGTCTCCTGCCATAGCGTTTCATTTCATTTAAATGTCGACGGATAGTTCGCGCTGACACTGATGCTCCCTGAGCCTGCAGGACAGCTTGAATGTCTTTGGAACATGTTTGGGGCTGCTTATCCACCATCCGGACTATTCTGCGTTGCAATCTTTCATCAATTTTCCTCATCCGTCCACGACCAGGGAGATTAGCTACAGTGCCATGGGTTGCAAACTTCTTGATAATGTTGCGCACTGTGGACAAAGGCAAATCTAGTTCTCTGGAGATGGACTTGTAACCTTGAGATTGTTGATATTTTGCCACAATTTTGGTTCTCAGGTCCTCAGACAGTTCTCGTCTCCTCTTTCTGTTGTCCATGCTTAGTGTGGCACAGACAGACACACAATGCAAAGGTTAAGTGAACGTCTCTCCTTTTTATCTGCTTTCAGGTGTGATTTCTATATTGCCCACACCTGTTACTTGCCCCAGGTGAGTTTACAGGAGCATCACATGCTTGTAACATTCTTATTTATCCGCAGTTGTGAAAGGGTGCCAATACTTTTGTCCAGCCCATTTTTGGAGGTTTGTGTGACATTATGTCGAATTTGCTTTCTTTCCTCCCTTTTTTTGTTTTGTCCCAATACACACAAAGGGAATAAACATGTGTATAGCAAAACATGTGTTAATGCAATACGTTTCGTGAGAAATACATGATTTCCTGGAGAAATATCAAGGGTGCCAACAATTTCGGCCATGACTGTATCTTCCATTCTCCTCATAAGAAAATCCAAGTTACATATGGTAGATTCAAATAAATGACAGACTTTATTCAACAACTTACATTGCAGTAAGAGAGTAAAACAGCTTCTCCTCATCAAGGTGTATAAGCAGACAAGCTAGGGAACCCTAGCTTGTCTGCTTATACACCTTGATGAGGAGAAGCTGTTTTACTCTTACTGCAATGTAAGTTGTTGAATAAAGTCTGTCATTTATTTGAATCTACCATATATGTAACTTGGATTTTCTTATGAGGAGAATGGAAGATATAATACTTTATTGGACCTAATATTGGATGGATTTCTACAGCTAAGGAGATCTATATCTAGCCCTATCTGTGGTTATAGAGGGTAATTATCCATCTTACACAAGGAGTTGGAGATCACGGTTTTGGTTGGGGATGTGTGTTTGATCACTTATTGCAAGTGTGGTGTCACGAAGTTGCAGTGTCATAAGTGTCACAGACTCACATAGTGGATGTGATTTGTATTTGTCACACTGGTCATAGATTTGGTGACACGGATACCTATATTAATAATATATAGGCTGATATTCACATAGAGAGTTTTTATATATAATTTTTTTTTTTTTTTTTCTCCTCGTTTGCTTGAGTATTTTCACTAGTAGTGCATGGTGCACTGGTAAGGGCACGTGTGTTTTGATTTCTAAAAAGGTATGACACTATGTTAAGTTTTTTTTTTTTTTTGAGGTATATGGGCATCAGAATGTACGGGTGTTGAGAAAAAGGATTTTTTCGTGGAAAAAGAAGAATAAAAGAGACTTTATTTGAACATTTGTTTTATTAAAAGTGGGGTGTGTTTTGAGATTTTGGGACTTTTTTAAGAAAAGTTTTTTATTATTATCTTTAACCTTCAAGGGTGGAGGTAGACTACTTTTCTGGGTTTTAATTTTGTGTGCTTTGTTCTTGAGAAATATACATATGTTTGATATTTTGGTATCCTAGCAGTGAGCTAGGGACGTAACTTGCGCATTTGATTTGCGACTACCTATCACAGTTTTGGAGGTCCTAAAAATACTAGGATAGTACAAACACGCCCCCCCAAATGACCCCTTTTGGAAAGTACACAGTCCCAATGTATTTGATGGAGGCATAGGGAGTATTTTACAGATCTAATTTTTTTGTCACAAGGGTTTGAAAAATGAAAAAATACATTTTCATTTTCTTTTCTTCATTTTCCAAAAACGTGGCAACAAATGAGATCTGCAAAATACTCACCATGCCTCTTAGCAAATACTTTGAATTGTCTACTTTCTAAAAAGGCATCATTTGGGGGGGATGTTTGTACTATCCTGGCATTATAGGGTCTTTGAAACTGTGATAGGTAGTCAAGAAATCAAACGTGCAAGTTAGGCCTTTTTAAAGTCTGAAGGTGTTCATTAAATTTTGGGCCCCCATAAAAAAGCTAGGCTCCCAAAAAATCCTCATACTTAGGAGAAGTAGTAGAATGTGTGTTTTTGGTGTAATGTCACACATACCCATGACACGAGTGACAAATATCTCAGTAAAGTGACAACTTTGTGTTTTAAAAATGAAAATTAATTTTCCAAAAACTTGTGACAAAAAACAAGATCTTCCAAGGACTCAACATTTCTCTCAATACATATATCGGGGTATTTACTTTCCAAAAAGGGTCATTTGGTTGGGTGTTTGTACTTTCCTACCATTTCAGCACCTCAAGAACTGTGTTAGGCAGTCAGAAAATCAGACCTGCTTAAAAGCTGCATAAATTCCAGTGCATATATTCCATAGCTTTTTTAGACAGTATACCTTTCACACAAACCAAACAATATACACCTTTTGGGATTTTATTTTTTACCAAAGAAAGTGTAGCAGAATCAGGGACGGACTGACAACTCATGGGGCCCCCGGGCAATAGGGGATCATGGGGCTCCTGTGTCCTTGCCCAAACTCAAAAAAGCCTTTGAAAAAGGTACCAGGGGCATCTCATGGGGCCCCCTACTGACCCCCCGGCCCTCTCGGGCAATGCCCGAGTTTCCAAATGGTCAGTCTGCCCCTGAGCAGAATACATTTTGGGCTAAACCTATGAAGAAATTTTATTTTATTTTATATTTTTTATAGCAGAAGGTAGAAAATATATTTTTTTCACCATCATTTATATAATAAAAAAATAGAAAACCCAGTGGTTATGAAATACTACCAAAAGAAACTTCTATTTATGTGTGATGAATAGCAAAAATGATCTGTCATGAAGGGGGTAAAACCTTCCAGAGGTCAAGTGGTTAATATTTATTGTCGTAAAACAAGTGTTGTTCAAAAATAATTATGGTAATGACAGTTGGTTTAAAGAGAAGAATTAATAGATGGAGGTTGTTGATGATTGGAGAACATAACATCACAGTTTTCAATAAGAGCAATCTGATGGAGAAATAGTATCTTGTTTGTTTCGTTTTCTGTGCATTTGTATCACACAAAAAAAGTAAATTTCACTTAGTGGACAGAATATTATTATACCCTTTCTTTTTCTAATGGATATGCTTGCTTTTCAGACAACACGCAAAAGTCTTGTGGTATGACCGAGTAAGGTATGTCTTTATGGAATTCTGCGTAGAAAACAGTCGAGATGTCAAGGTGGAAATTGAACCCAATAAAGTTATTTTCAGGTAATTTTCATGCTAATACATCAGGGGATAATACTCCTAGGGGAACCGTGTGTGCATTCAAACCAATAAATCGATATATTATTTATATCATAAACAGTGTAAATAAGTAAAGCCTAACTAAAGGCAAACCTTTTTTTTTATTGCGGTCTGTGTCCTCATTAGGGAAAATCTCTCTATTTATCCTGTTTACCATTATCACTGAAAGTGATCAAAAACCCAAATTTTAAGCTGTCTCCAGAACAGTAATAGATGGGAAATCCTCCAATAGGGACACTAGTTCTGGTAACAAGCAGGGACTTCTTCACTTTGGAAGGATTTCCGCTTGGCTATGGGACAGGAAGTGAAGGGAAATCTTCTCAATGGGAAACGGATGGCCAAAAAAACTGATGGGAACGTAAACTCTCCCTTACTCTAAAACTGAAAAAAGTGTTGCCTTTAGTTCTACTTAAGTCTATTCAGAAATCCTTATTAGTTAATTATCCAATAACAGTCATCAAGAAATCATTACTAAAAAATATCATACGCATACATTTATGTTATAAAAATGCATTCCGTTCATCTTGGGAACCTCCTGAATTTTGGGTACAAGCTTCACAAGAATCACTTGAGTACTGTATGTTTGACTCTCCTCAATTCACTGAGCTTTTTCATAGTTCCTTGCCTAAAGTAGTATCATAGGGGGAGATTTGCTAAAGCTGGTTCACTCAGAATCTCATGCACCTGTGCATGGGAGCCAATCAGCTTCTAACCACAGCTTGTTCAATTAAGCTTTAGCAATACAATCTGGAAGCTGATTGGTTTCCAGAAGCGCACCAGCTTTAGTAAATGTTGCAGCCTCCTAGTTTAGCTAGGGGGAGCTAGACCCTAATGGTTAGTTAGGAGCTGATTAGAAGCTCAGGTGAGAAAGCCAGAGGGGTCAAATTCTGGTAAGGACTGAGAGACTCTGCAGGCCAGCCCCTCTGGAATTTCTCCCTGTTCTGAGGCTTTCAGAGGAGGGCCTTGGAGGCAGTGGGTGGATCTCTGTCTGTCTACACTCCTGAGGGACCTCGGCCAGACCCCAACAGGAAGCTTGGCAAGGGGCTGGGACTCCCTTAAAAGTGGAAGAGCCTGCTCAGTAGCAGGAATGTGGTGGTGGGAAAAGAGTGAGAAGCAGGAAGATGTGAGGCTGGAGGAGGAAGGCTGCCAGGTGGTCAGGTGGGATGGGTCCTGCCTGCGAGCCTGGAGCTGGAAAGGAGGATAACTCACAACTCACTGGTCCCCTGAGAAAGGACCACCTGTATGGCAGGGAAGGAGCAGCCCAGCTGATAGGCCTGCTAGCAGCAGCTGACCTGCAAGCAGTACAGAAGAGGATCTGAGTGAGTACACCTGCACCCCCTGGGCGGATAGGGTAAGGAGCAATCTGGTGGTGGGAAACCAGATCAGCCTTCTACTAGTGACTGGTATCCACTTAAAGGGACAGAAGCCAGATTCCCTGCTCAGGAAGAGAGTCTCCAGATTTCTGGGTGAAGAGGAGTTCATCTAAGGTCTCGGGTAGTACAACTGGAGCTGCTGGCAAGCCTTTCAGCAGAGACTGTGTCAGAGGAAGAGAGACTGTGAATAGTTCAGTAAGTTGTCCTCAGATTTCCCATCCCTTGGGCATCCTATACACCCTTACCCCATCCAATTTTAATCCCCTCAGTAAAATAACAAACCCAACACTCAAGGCCTGATTTATGTATACGGATGGGTGGTGTGTGGAACATGCTAACTGGCTGTGCAGGACCATTGAGGGAACCAAGTTCATCAGCAACCCCCAGGGGATTAGTGCTACATAAATAAATCCCATAATTTCCATTGTTTTCACTTTAATAGATTACTAACCACTAATAAAACAATCTCTGTAAAGTACTACAAACAGATATTATCACCAGCACTGGGACCGGGTAGCTCAGCAATACTTCTGAACTTTAAGTTGGAAAGTGCATATTGAGCAGATCGAATGATCACCTTACTTGGAATACATGTCTCATTATTCCTCTCTCCACATCCCATCCTTCTAGACATAGCCGCAGTTAAATATTGTAGGAGGAGCAGGGGCGGGGCTTGCATGCTAGGTTCAGCTTCAGGGATGCCTGTGCCCTCCCCTGCCAGAATACACAGATGAGTGCTTGCAGCCATTGGTTTTCCAGCAAGATCTGGTCTTTAGAACTGACAGTGGTATATATGTACTGAGAGATAGCTGGCTGACATTTGTACATTTAGTCAAACGAAATCTCCAAGAGATCAAGTAGCCAATTTAAAAAGTTAGAAACCAGCAAACTTCAGCCAGTCAGGATGGTGCTCTATGTTTCCAAATTTTATTTTACTGACATATGTACACGTAATTCAGAAAGTCAAAATAAAGTGTGTGCGTGTGTAAAATATATTATGAAATCAGACCCAAGCAGTTGCCATTTCCATGTGTATGTTGTGTTTTTTTCAATCCTCACATGTCCCCACATTACTGACCCCTGTGTACACACAGTGCTGACACATATGTTCTCCCACTCTCACAGCAATGACCCCTATGTCCTCCCAGTCTTACAGTACTGACCTATATGTTCTCCCAGTCTAACAGTACTGACCCATTTGTTCTCCCAGTCTTACAGTACTAACCCATATGTTCTCCCAGTCTCACAGTACTGACCCATATGTTCTCCCAGTGCTGACCCATATGTACTCCCAATCTCACAGTACTAACACATATGTTCTCCCAGTCTCAGAGTACTGGACCATCTGTTCTCCCAGTCTCATAGTACTGACCCATATGTTCTCCCAGTCTCACAGTACTGGACCATTTGTTCTCCCAGTCTCATAGTACCGACCCATATGTTCCCGCAGTCTCACAGCAATGACCCATATGTTCTCCCAGTCTTACAGTACTGACCCATATGTCTTTCTAACCCATATGTTCTCCCAGTCAGGGGCGGACTGACCATTTAGAAACTCGGGCACTGCCTGAGGGCCTGGGGTCAGTAGGGGGCCCCATGAGATGCCCCTGGTACCTTTTTCATAGGCTTTTTTGAGTTTGGGCAAGGACACAGGGGCCCCATGATCCCCTATTGCCCAAGGGGCCCCATGAGTTGTCAGTCCGCCCCGGCTCCCAGTCTCACAGTACTGACCCATATGTTCTTACAGTACTGACCCATATGTTCTTCCAGTCTCACAGTTCTGACCCATATGTTCTCCCAGTCTCACAGTACTGACCCACATGTTCTACCAGACTCACAGTACAGACCCATATGTTTCTCTCACTCTCACAGCAATGACCCATATGTTCTCTCAGTCTTACAGTACTGACCAATATGTTCTCCTAGTCTCACAGTTCTGACCCATATGTTCTCCCAGTGCTGACCCATATGTTCTCCCAGTCTCACAGTACTGACCCATATGTTCTCCCAGTCTCACAGTACTGACCTATATGTTCTCCCAGTCCCACAGTACTGACCCATATGTTCTCCCAGTCTCACAGTACTGACCCATATGTTCTCCCAGTCCCACAGTACTGACCCATACGTTCTCCCAGTCTTACAGTACTGACCCCTATGCTCTTACACACACAAAAAAAAAACACAGCGAGGAAAAAACTCTTGTGACTGATTGAAGAAATCCTTTTTCTATTAGGTGTCTAATAGTGGCTGGAGAAATAGTAGTCAGTAAATATATAATAAAATGCTCAAATACCTGATCACCAGAGGGCAGACATGTATAGTTTGTTATATTCCGAATCGAAATTCAGACAAAACGTTCAGTATTCAGAGATTTGGATGCATCCATTTCAATAGTAGTGAATTTAAACGAATCCAGAATAACTAAACTAATTTTTGTCTGAAACAATTAATTATTTGAGTAGAATTTGAAAACAAAATCGAAATGTACACATATTGCTGACTATTGCTGATTTCCTTCAAAGACTTTGGGGGTCATTTTATAAAACTGGAGAGTGCAAAATTTGGTGACGCTCTGTATAGAAACCAATCAGCTTCCAGGATTTATTGCCAAAGCTTAATTGAACAAGCTGACGTTAAAGGCTGATTAGCTACCATGGACAGCTGCAGGAGATTCGGAGTTCTTCAGTTTTAGTAAATCTACCTCAGTGTATATTTGTGTACCTAAAAAAATTGATGTTGTTTTGAAGTCAAAGGGTATTCAAATATTGATTTGATTTAGATTTTTCTTGTGCTCCCTATGTATTTTTTAAATTGATAAAAATAAACAAGTAATATCTATATTTTTGAAAGCATTCATATGTTACACGATTTCTTCACGCTTGCCTAAAATGTTAGCTCAGTACTGTACATAGAGACATCAAAATATTGAAGTCAGATATTGCTTTATAACTTAGAAAACATAGTCTGAATAAACTTTAATATTATCACAAATGAAGATTAACGTGTCAAAAATCAAACAGTCAATTTTTCTGGTGAATATTTTTAGCATCATTGTGTCCAGATCAACATAAATGCCTTATAACCTAGGACCCTTCAATTTTTTTATGTTACTTTTAATACTTTTTTTAAAGGATTAAGCTGGTCATACGTGGTGGAATTTTCACATCAACACAGTCAGTGTGGTTGCAGAACACCCAGTGATGATTGTTAGCGACTGTCAGGAATGGACTCAACACTGGTGGTGGGACTCACCTGTCGTGTGGGCTGCAGTACCAGGGCTGACCAGCGGGTGCTCTCAGCAGCCAGAAGCTCACTCTTGCAATCAGCCAACACCTGGGGCTGATTGCAGGAGGTGTATTTAAGGAATGGCCAGACCTGCAGTCAGTGCCTTTGTGTATGTTTCCCATGAGCCCCTGTACCGGGTATCCAGTGTTCCTGCCTATCTGCCTAGTTGCTGACCCTGCTTTGATCCTGACCTCTGCTGACCGTCTCCTGTTGAACCCCTGGCTTGCCTGACCATCCTTCTGCCTGATCCTCTGTACCACACTGCCCGTGAGTTACTGAATCCGGCTTGTGACCCTGACTATTCTCTGCCTGCTCCTCCGGTACCTCACTGCCCGCACGTTGCTGACCTGGCCTGCCTGACTACGCCTGACACTACCCAGACGATCCATCCATCCCGCACGAATCCAGTCACTACTGTCCAAACCTGCCAGCCCCTTCACATTAGGCTTTCCCCCGGTACATACCCTCGGCGGACCCCTCTATCACAGTTGGGTGCACTCAGGGGCCGTGACCTGGTCTCAGTCCTGCGCCAAGTCCATCCCCACCATCAGGGGCTCTGGTGAAAAGGCAGACTGGGGCTTAGACTCCGTGCCCTGGGGAATCCTGGTCTGTGGGTCACTAGAGATCCCGCCGGGCGGTGCCTGACGGTACCTTACGGCCCGCCTGACCATTCCACCTCTCCAGCCCTGACTACACCTGTGTTCCTGAAGCCTGCTACTTCCCTGTGTCAGTCCACACATTTCTGGTCACACCCCGATCCCCGACAGCGACCAGTGCTGTATTTTTTTGTAAAATTAATTGCATTTGGTGTATGGAACCCCCCCACTCCCCGAAAGTGGCCTGCTTGTGTGATTGGGTCATTGATTTTCTCAGAAGATACAAATCAGATTTTGGGCATCCTCTGCTGGGAGAACACCCAGTGATTATTGCTAGCGATTATATCCGCTGGCAATAATCAAATGAAAAATGCTGGTTGTACTCAAGTCGCATCAACCCAAGCGGATTTTCCCCCCAACCCTATTCTGGTGGCAGTGGAGGTGAGCACAAGTGAAGGCATAACATGCTTTTAATGACTATACTCAGCACAATTGTTATGCTTGTGTGTCTTAAGGTATACAAAAAGGTAGCATCTTCTTCCTATATAGGGCGATGGGTTGACATTGGGTCTTGATCACCAGCCAGTAATTACTAATAGAGTGGTGTCTAATAATGTATCAAACTATGTTTTACTGTAAGATGTACATTGTGCTCTTTTTCTATGACAAATTGCAATAAAAAAATGGTTAAATATAAAAAAAAAAAGATAATATCTTCGATCATGTGAGTTTCATGTTAGTAGTAGAATAGTAAAAACATTTTTATCCATCACATAAAGCTGCCGTCATCGTTTCCTATAGGAGAATTTAGTAGTATTTAGTGGTTAAAGGTTAACTCCACTTTCCTAGGAAAAATGTCAAAAAAAAAATGAATATACCATATACAATTGCTACACAAGTCAATTTGTAATTGAATGTTATTAAAATTACCTTTCCTTTTCAATCTGCAGTGCTGTAATTTCCTGTAAAATTCAATTTAATATGTCAGTCTGGAGGCATTCTGTACACAGCCGTGTCCTGCATATGTGATTGGCTCACTGATTTTCCAAGAAGTCTACACTAAGATAAGAGTCAGATTTTGGACATCCTCTGCAACAAAATTTAGATTTCCAAAGGGAAATCAGGTCTAAAGGAATTCAGATCCTACCACTTTCCGTATTAGTACCCTGCAAGTGCAGTAGCTGATTGAGAATTATAAAATCACTCCCATTCACTCTGCACATGGACACAGACAAACAACTATATCTTTAGAATAACAAAAGGTAGGAATGTACATAGACCACTCAGGGGGTGTTTTATTTTCAACAAAAGTGGAGTTAACCTTTAAATGCCCTTTTACCGAATTAAAAAAAAAAAAATCAGATAACAAATATTCCTTCCTAGCTGATCACCAGTATTGGTTTAGTCTTTCTTCATCTAATAACCTTGGACTCCCAAAATGTGAGATATGCTGTTAGGGGTACCCCATCCAGCTTTACTCAATTTTTTGTCTTCAAATTGCCTTTGTCTTCTGTTATTGTCTGTATTTTTTGCTTTTTCTAATAAATAATAATAATAATAATAATAATAACATAGAGAGAATCACTTGGGAAGTTGGAGAGTGCTTCAGTGGTGATATAATTTGATGGCTAATAATGTTTATTTTGCTTCACAGCTGTTTAAATGAAGATAATGTTCAAATGTACAATGAATTTGAGTTATTTGACAAAATACAACCTAAAGTAAGTGTCCATATCAATTATTTCTTTAGCTGGTGATTTATCAATGTCAATTTGCAAACTTTTATGTGCTCATAATTAAGCAAGATTTCTCAGTGAACCCTCTCTCCTCAGGATTCTAGGGAGAAACGTTCAGATCGATCAATTACTTGCTTCCTGAGGAAGTGGAAGGAAAAAGTGGCTTGGCCAAGGTTGACCAAGGACAATAACAAGGTGGTGTATATACATTTTGTCTGCCTAGATAAATAATTGGTAATAACCTGCAAAGTTTTAGTATAAAGAATACATTTAGCATGGTTAACTGTTAGTAACCAAGGAAATATCCACATTGTTACTGACTCTTGAAAACACCATATAAATCTATGCTAAAAGCTGGACAAAGTAAAAAATATAGCTAAACTTTATATTTTTTATATTTAATAATAAGGTCAAGAGATTGTTGGAATAATTTAGTCAACGAGCTTCAGGTTTATATTGACCATGAGTTGGCTAGTACATCCGCCTGGACCTCTGGCTTTTGCAGCCAATAGTCATTCATTTACTGGTGATATCACTACTGCTACTAAATGACAACTCAGGGCTGCCACCAAATCATTAGTTGCTAGTACCCAAGCAGCCACCTACACCATAACAGTTAATGATGATGTGTAGCCTTGGCTGCCTATGTACTGGCAACCAATGAGGCTGTGTGAGCTGCAAGCTTCATTGGTTGCTAGGATGCAGCTGCCTACACAATGTTATTTGTTGTTAGGATGCAGGGGGCTACCAACATCCTAGCAACCATTGATCTTGGTAACATTCAGCTTGTTTCAAATACAAATCTCAGCCAAAGGGTATCTTGAGTGACTTCATTGACCATATATGATTACGATGACCATATGTGGTCAATGACATCAGCCTGCAATCCTGGTCCCCTGAAAATCCATACCAGACCCCTTCCTTGTTTAGACTTGGGAAGTGGCTTTTCCGGAATAGCTTGCTGTCAATGGGGAATTGTTTATCTAGTCTTGGACAGCAGATGCAGTTTTTTAAGTTCAACCATGGGGAACAGCAAGAAACAGTAGTCTTAATTAAAAAAAAAAAATAAATAAAAAAACACCAAAGAATTGCTCTTAATTCTGATTTGTAAGCTCCACCTGGCAACATGTTTGCTGATAATATGCAGATTCAAAGGTCAATATTTCAGTGTAAATTTAAGGAGGGAGCTGGAGTCCCACAGCAATCCTTCACAATGCTTAAAGTGATTGTAAATGCTATTTTTTTAAAATAACAAATAGGTTTATACTTACCTACTCTGTGCAGTGGAATTGCACAGAGCGGTCCCAAACCACCTCTTCTTGAGCCCCCATCTACACTCCTATTCTCCTTCTACCTGGCAAGTGCCCCCATAGGAAGCCTCCTAGAAAATGGAGTTCCGCCTTCCTTAACATTGATTGGCATTTAGGCCTCCTATAAATAAGTGAGCTGGTCACCAATCGCGATTACCCTGAGGAAGTGACGTGAAGATAGTGACGCAACGCGCTGGTACGCGGTGATGTAGTTCCGGTACACGGTGACGTACATCCGGTGTGGACGCCATCTTAGCACACCCATTTCCTGAAACCATGCAGTACACCATAGCACGAGGTTCAGAAGCATTTGTGTTGCTGTTTGCAAGTGAGTGGGCATTTTATATTATTAAAATAAACACATATTACTTAAACCTACTACACTATGGAGGATCTTTTGTTTCTAATCATGGTCCGGATGGGAGAGTATACAATTTAGTGGATACTTATATCGGGAGAGGACCGGAGAAGCGTAAGTGCCACCTGAGAGGGAGATTACTGTTGGATACCATCTAATAACCTGATACTGCCTGTGAAAGATCCTGGGGTGATCCTGAAAGCGAGGTGGCCCAGTGGGTCGCAGAAAGGAGGTGAGGGGGCATTTTAGCCACTGAGGATTCGTACAGCTGGTGTGAATACACGTTCACCTTATCACTTTGCATGGAATTTAATTTTATATATGTTGGAGCACAATTCATCTGAGATTTTTTTGGACATTTTGAGATTTTTTTATTTTATGTTTATCTGTCACTGATTATTTTTGTCATTTAATGTTGAGTGCTTGTATAAACACTGGTCACTTTGTGTGAGGAGGTTATTCCCCCGTATTAGGGGAATCACAGATATTTTACACTAGTAGGGGTTTGGGTTGTTTATTGGAATTATATTTTTCTGGGTAGAGATTATCCTAGTCATTTGTGTTGACTTGTTTGTTTGCACTTTATGAGGCCTTGGAGAGGACCTCACAACACATTATTGGGCATTATAGAGTTGTTTGGTGCCAAATAGATCCGCATTGGATCTTATCACCATAGTATTGTTTTTTGCATGTTTATTATATTTATATATTTATTTATCTATTATTACTTATTTAGGTACTAATAATTATATTGTAATTTTATGATATAGCGCTGCACTATTATTATTATAATCAACTTGATGGCTTGTGATGGAATTTATTACTAAGCCATGCTATGTAGAGCCATGCCTTGACTAGACTGCAATTGTACCATGTTCAGTAAAGCAATTTAAACTATATTTTGCCCTTGGAGTGCATTCATTGGCCAGCATTAAAGTATGCAGAGAGAGAGAGAGCGTGTGCTCTGCTGGTGTCTGCCTGCAGAAGGTGCCTAGTATCTGGAGGCCTTAGGAGTGAGGGTGTGAAGCACACAGCCAGGAGGGTGGATCAAGGGTCCATCTTCACCCACCACCTACACATTGGGGACAGTCTTCAGGCAAAGTCCTGGTTTTGCCCAGACGGTTAGTGTCACGCTGGGGGTTTTGCTTGACTGCTCGCTATGTCCACAAGCGGTGCAGCCTGCCACTCACCACAAGTAGAGTTGGCTCTTTAATTAGGCAAATTAGGCAGTTGCCTAAGGCCTTGCACTCACAGGGGCCTCATGGCCAACTAATTTGCCCAATGCAGTGTTTCCTAACCGGGGTTCCGTGGCGATCTACCTATCAGTCACAGGCAGCTGACAGGTAGATCACATGGACACAGGTGCAGGAAAGTGGCTGGCATACTATTGGCTTTAGCGTGCTGTTCCCTGCCGGCCCCTCCTGTCCATCCTGGGTGCTTGTATGTGACATCATCTGGGATGGACAGGATAGAAGGAGGGGAAGAGGGGCCGGCAGGGAACAGCACACAACTGGAGGACTGTTGAAAGCCGCCTTTGAAGCCAGGTAGAAGAGGAAAGCTGTTACAGTAGTGTGCCCAGCTGTGTCCCCCACACTATGCCTAACAGTCTGTCCCATACAATGTGCTCTGTCCCATGTAATGTGCTCTGTCCCATGTAATGTGACCTGTTCCTTGTAATGTGACCTGTGCTCTGTCCCATGTAATGTGCCCTGTCCCATGCTATGGGCCCTGTGCTTTGTCCCATGTAATGTGCTCTGTCCCATGTAATGTGCCCTGTACCCTGTCCCATGCAATGTGCTCTGTCCCATGCAATGTGCTCTGTCCCATGCAATGTGCTCTGTCCCATGCAATGTGCCCTGTACCCTGTCTTATGCAATGTGCTCTGTACCATGTAATTTGCCCTTTGCCTCTGTCCCATGTAATGTGCCCTGTCCCATGCTATGTACCCTGGGCTCTGTCACATGTAATGTGCTCAGCCTCCATGTAATGTGCCCTGCTCCCACATAATGTGCCTTGCCCTCATGTAATGTGCTCTGTTCCCACATAATGTTCCCTGCCTCCATGTAATGTGCCCTATTCCCACATAATGTGCCTTGACCTCATGTAATGTGTCCTGCTCTTGTGTAATGTGTCCTGTTTCCACATAATGTGCTCTGCTTCCATGTAATGTGCCCTGCTTATCTCTCATGTAGTATGCCCTCCTGAGCCCCAGTACCCTGCCCTGCTGCCCCCACACACACTGTCACACACTGTCTATCCCAAGTTGGAACCAGAATGCAGCATCACTGCAGAAAAAGCACAAGGTTCATATTAAATAGGTATGTTTTCTTACTTGTTCTTTTATTTAATAGTATTTGGAAATGGTATTATCAACAGCTCATGGATTATGTTCCGTGAGCTGTAGATGTGAACATTATTTCAGGGCTTCCCCAAGATCTCAAACTTTTTGCCAGGAGTTCCTCGAAGATAAAGTTGAGAAACACTGGCCTACCACATTACCACAAATTCGAGGGACAGGGGACCTTAATGCTGCTGTGCTCAGGCAGTGCTAATAGCCCTGTCACATTCACCTTTCAAGTAACCCTTCTGGAGCTCTGTCCACCAGCCAATAAGGAGTGATGCTGCGTCCGCACACGTTACCCCTCTCATCTACAGTATTATCAATGCTGGGCCTATAAGAGGGACTCTCCACAGGACAGCATTATCAGTGAGGTAGATGAGGGGTTAGTGCAGTCACAGCAGTGTGGCATTTGGCATCTCATGTCTTGGCCTGCGGTTGCCAATGATTGCCTTACCCATCCCCCAGCTAGTTTTCATTGCTTGAATTATTTTTCCCATTATGGGAGTGAGTGGGGCCCCATGTCTAAGTTTTGCCTAAGGCCTCACAAAGCCTAGAGCCACCTCTGACCACAAGTTATACTGTTTAAAAAACCAAAATGGTCCCTACCTTAGACAAGAATATTGCTGTCTTATACAACCAATCAGATCAGAGGGTATTCCAAGTTAAGAGATAGTATTATTGCCTGAATGGGGTCTGCCTTATCTGCTCAGGCTAACCCATAAAGTGTCACAGCTGAGAGGCAAAAAGAGCACATTTTAGCATGGGGCACAGCTAATCCACCGGCATCTTTCACAAGTTGGAGAGTGATCTGCTTGGTACGAGGGAATTCCTTTCTCCAAATGAGGTCCCTGAAGAGGGTGGCTATTTGCTGTTCCACTTTTGTGATATCCAAACAAGGAAATTGTGTAAGATATAAAATAATTGGAGTGCCCATATCATTTTAATTATACTTGAATGACCTATAACTGGTAAAGGTAACCTACACCAGTTAGTAGATTTCTGCTTAAGCCTAACTAGCAGTGGTGTTAAGTTTAAATATGGGTACTCAATGACCCCCGGGATAATAACTCCTAAATATTTGAAGGAATTGACAATTTTGATTTTGGAAGCTATAGGGGTTAACTCTTGTTCCAATGGGTCTAGAAGGGGCACGACAGACTTGTCCCAATGATTCTAGAGCCTAGTG